TAATAAATGTTAAGAATAAAAATCTAAATCATTATTATGTAGAATTACTATTACGTTACGGAGTATTGACGGGAGACAATGTATGTATCCAAGGGAAGGACGAGTAGTACGTAATAGACGGGGATCCGTATAATGTATTTTGTTAATTTATACTTAATAAACGACAATCGTATGTTTTATTATTCAATATTATTATTTTCAATAATATAATGACCTGTTGTGCAGAATTTTCGTAGAAATATCGGTTTAAAAATTACAGTTCCAAGTTGTACCTTAAAAGTCCATTACGACGTACCTATGTACTATGCGTGACGAAATGTGTCGCCGACGGCCGAATGGGTTTCCGCACTGACCGATACCGTGAACCGTTATCTACTAGATTGCACGAGGAAGACGTGAAAACGAAAAAAACCTAACATTTCTTGTACCCGCCCGATTTAATACCTATCATCATCATATTATTAATACCGATGGCCAAGACCCGTGCACCACAAATATGGTATTTTTCGTAAATCTTGTTTTCGAGTGACGTCAAAAGTATTCGTGTTCGCGTCTACGACGTTTGAAACGCGTCATCACGTCATCCGAGGGACACCGCGCCGCGGGGCAGGAAATTCGACAGCTATTTTTCGCATCGAACAAAAAATGACCGCCGTCCGTGTAGCGTAACGCGCAAACTTTGCACCTTGCCGACGGGCCCACAATTCCAATCGTCGCGGTCGGTGGTGTACTCGATTGTGCGGAACAATCGTTCTCCTAACCGCAGTTTCGTTTCTCTAATCCTACGCCGAATGCACTTGCGGTCGTGAAAAGTGTACTAGAAGTACAGATGATCCGAAAACAGGTACATCGTGACACGATGTATTTCGATTTCTCCGTCTTATAATTCGCTATCGGCATTGTACGCTGTACGCTGTATACATTCTGCATCTGCGCACAACGTCATCGGTAAAACGGTACAAAATAATCAGTGGCGGTTCGTGAGTTCTGGTGGTGGATGTACTACTTTATATTCAACACCCCTAATCATAGGTTTAACGTATAAAACATGAAATAACACGCTGTACACATATTATTGATTATTTAATGTTACTAATTTCAAGCTGAATATCTTATCCGTCAACGTATCTCAAACCTATACAGGTGTATTTTGGTATATATTATTGTACGATTTTAATAGCAGTTAACTTATAGAGTTGTCTTGTGAATGAAATCCATGCGCCCGTTTTTGGCTGATGGAAAACGGTCGTAAACTAGTGTCTGGTCGCGGGCCGCAGTGGGAAACAGAAATACAATTTTTAACGTCGCGGACGACGTTGCTGGTCGTCGAAAACGCGTACACAAGTGTACGGTTCAAACGTACGCGCGTGCACACGATTATGAGCATTCGCTTATTACATGTCATAATACGCTGATACGTTTAAAAATAATAATCGGCAACAGTGACCGAGTGACGGGTGTTTACGTAGTTATTTTTTTTTTTTAAAAATAAATGACCTAACGTGCGAGCAGTTATCAGTAATGTACTAACGTTTTACCGTACGGACGATACTGCCAAACGTCCGGAACGCATATAAAGATATATAAAGATAGCAGTTCGCACGCACGCACACGATTGCCGCGCCGTCGACTATAAGCTATAATGTACGTGTTCAGAATGGTTCGGACGACGCTGTATGGTCGTCCCATCACTGGTCAGTGCTCGTGTTTACACGCGTACAAACCATACACACACCCTTGGTATCTGAGGAAACAAATTTTTGTTCGAACACAACAAAATCTATATAATATAATAGTAATAATAATTGACGTACGGTTATGAACCGTAGAACTCCGATCTAATAATTATTTGAAAACTTAATTTCAACATTATTCGAGTTTTAAAAATCTAGTTGAATGCTATTCTAATGTATCTCAAAAGGCTTTCCAAACAGTTTGTAGTCAAGTTATCTTATTATACATTTGGTTCAACTTTTATTTGCGAGCAAGTGTTTTTCACTACGAAAACCAATAAAAGCAAATCTTGGTCTCACATAACGAATGAACATTTCGATCGGCATTTGAGTAAATTCGATAAAATAAGAACCTAATATTGATGCTCTCTGTGAAAAAAACAAAGACAACACCGACATAAAAAAAAATATATATGTATACGTATACTTAAATTTTTTTTTCATATTTATCAATCAATATATTATAAATAATTAAATTTGTCACTGTACCTATATTCAGATAAACCTTCAATAAATTAGAATATTTTATTAAGTTGAAAGAAAAAGTTCTTGGCCCATCTAGAATTTTTTTTTTTAACGATCCTTGGTCACCACTGGTGTAGCACATATCTACAAATAAACAACAATAATGTTTATACTATACGCGTGTATTCCAAGTAATAAATTTAAATTATCAAACACACACACACACACACACACACATATACACAGCTGTGTTATTTTTGTAACTATCGACTACTTTCTTTCTTTGTCACAACTGACGATCAATGTTTTAATTATTTTTACAATTATTAAATTTCTATGGCATACCGATAATTTTTCTAAAATAATTACGATCGCTTGCATAATTCATATACGTGTATCTAAATATTTTCACGCATTATCGTTATAACGTTTTCAACAAGTACACTGTAGGACTATTAACGTCTATGCAATCATATAGACTGATAATTTTCCAGTGGACCACATGAGTTGTCAACGGAACTTTTCGAGAAGATTATGTAGGTGACTTATTTTTACAATTTAATATGATTATCTATCCCACTGATACTATTATATTATATTTATTTTATTATAATAACACCACTGATGTTCTATGTTTTTATACATATAAATTATTAACGTTTTTATTAGATTTATTATTTTATTAAAATCTTACAACAATTAACATTGCAATTATGATTCTCGGTAGTATTAAAAAATAAAAAATCGTGATTCTCAAACATGGCGGGGTTTGGGTATCTTAATTTCATTAAACGTGTAAAATAGCATCAGTTAGCCATTATATCTAACTATAGTTAATAATAATTAACTATAATTAAAATACATAACCCTGAGGTTCCCAACCAGAACATCGCGGTGCTCTAGGGCGCCATAGAATTATTTGAAATATATTTTTTATGAAAAAACGATTATATGGAAAATATAGCACGAGGATTAATAGCACAGATATTAATATAAAACCTATTGTGTTTCATATACTTTGTGGTAGTACTGAAATGACCAATCTATTTTAATTTTCATACCGGTTTAATTGCTATCGCTTCGGCGTGGACTGATGTAAAGTTATCACTTATTTACGATGAAATATTTGTGACTTTATCTATTTTTATAGTTGAAAAAAATAAATGTGTATAGAGTATATGAGTTGAAAGATGAACTTATCATACTTTTTACTCTTGAAAATGTACTTGAATTTTGTGAGTAATTGAGTAATTGAACAAAAAATGTGGTTGACAATATTATTATACTTATCAGATATATTTTTACACTTAAATCACATGAATTCGGGTAAACAAGGACCAAATGAAAATATATTAACATTGTGTAATATGTTATTTACTCTTAAAGATAATTTAAATATCTGGAAAAAACGTGTGCAAAAAATTAACAATTTTTTTTATTAGATGTTTCGTTTATTATCTATGACACAAAAAAGTTCTGAAATTATGCCTTTTGTGTAGAAGCTTTAAATGCCTTAAAAGAAAGTTCAGACAAGTATTTACCCGATATATATTTTTTAAAATATTATTGGATAGAATTTGAAAGAAATATACGTTTTACTGAATTTAGTCTTGAAGAAGAAGAACTCATTGAAATACCAAACAATCGAACAAATCTTTGAAATAATTTTTTATCAAAATTCAAAATCGTTTCATGAAATAAATCTTGGACGCAAGTTAAAAAAATGTACGTAAGCTTATATTGCAAAAAAATCTCTAAGAATATTACTGCAGTTTTGACGTCATAATTATGTGAACAAGGATTTTCCACTCTTGTAAACATAAAAATAAATAAACGAATGAACATGAAGTTCATTGAAAAAGAAATGAAAGTAGGTACTTTTAAATATTCGACCACGAATTTGTGTAAAAAAAAAAAAAAAAGAAGCCCGAGTGTCACATTAGTTCCATATGCTACCTAATTTTTAATTAATCTTGATAATCAAATAATATTATCTAATAATAATTAAATATGAAAATATATAATTAACGTTCCGTATAATAATTTGTTATATAAAATAAGGGTAGCACTACTTATGTTTATACTAAGGTAGTAAGCTAAAGAAAATAAACGTAACAAAATGTAATAATTATATTTACTTTTTATTTTATTGTACTTATAATTATTATAAGTACACGTTATATTACTATTAAGTATAGAAAGCAGGTTGCCTTCGGATTTTTAGAAAATAACTTAGGGTGCTGTGAGACAAAAAAGGTTTCGGAATTTCTGACCTGATCGAATGCAGCAGGTAGCATTAAATAGAATACCACGGTACAATTGAATAGATGTTTAAAAATCAAAGAAATTATACACAACAGACAGTTGACATCATACACATCAAAAATAAACTTATAACCATAAATAATTTATGTATACAATAAAAGTAGTTATTATCATTTTTTTTTATCTAATTACAGACGAAGTCAAAAACTGCAAAAAAATAAAAAAAACAAAAAATATTTCAACATGAATATAAAATATTTCGAACAGATAATGCTAATTAATTATACAGAGATAACGAAATATCTAAACTTTGAAGATATACTAAACGTAATAAAAGTTCTTGATATAAAAAATATAAAAACTAATTACGATACTATATTTATCGGAAACCGGGGACACTTAAAAGAATTACAAAAGAATCCAAAACATTTCAACTATTTGCATTTGAATATAAAATATGTCAATTTAAAAAATGAACATATTGACTTTAATGAACATACATTAACATTAAATTTATATAATGATAATATAACTAAAATGCCATTATTAAACGGATTCACAAATATAAAAAAATTACACATGGTCAAGAATTTCATCGTAGAATTGAACGAGAATCATTTACCCAAGAACGTAAATAATTTAGACTTATCCAGCAATTTAATCAAGAAAATGAACGGAATAGCCCACTTAAAAAAACTACAAGAACTCGACCTTTCAAAGAATCAGATATCAGAAATTAGCAGCACTAGTGACCTTACAAATTTGACTTCATTGTATCTCTCATCAAACAAGATAAGTAAAATTACGAATCTCAGTACACTAAAGAAATTAAAAGTACTAAACCTTGATTATAATAATATATCATTAATAGAAAACCTAGAGTCCCTAACTAGTTTAACCTCACTTAGTATCTGCAGCAACAGAATAAAAACAGTACAACATTTAAATGGTTTAACCAATCTGGAGTTTCTCAGCTTATCTTGTAATAATATTACCAAAATTGAAAATTTGAATATAAAAACCTTAAAATATATGAACTTGTCTTTCAACGATATTAAAAAAATTGAAAACATTCAATACCTAACGAATCTTCAGACTTTAATGCTGTCGGACAATAAAATATGTGTATTAGAAAATATTTCCTCTCTCGTCAGCTTAATGGAACTAGATGTAAATTATAATTTGATTGACGACATAGAAAATGTAGATTATCCACCAAATCTACTTTGCATACGTACTCGGAAGCCTCACGGTACCGAAAAAATCATCTATAAAAATATGATGCGTAATTGGCGTACGGACTCTTGTTGTATTTAACCGATTTATGTCATACCTTAAAATCATGAATTGAATAATGTATCTAAACTGATAAATATGTATATATAAAATGAAAATACATTGTACGCAACTTAACTGTATGAGTTATTACAGTATGAGCTATGTATATATATATAACATATATATATGGTACGATCAAAGAGTATAATTATGCGTTATAATACAATACCCGTTAAATTCGAAAAAAAGTTGATTATATTTTATGAATGGATTACACTCCTCGATCTTTTTTATACATTTCCCGACACTCTGAACCTAACACACACATACACTCAATGAAATGTATGGCTTAAAATAATTTCAATAAAATATAAAAATAAAAATTAATGCTTTTCACACGGTATAACCATTTCTCAGAACTAAAGTCGTAATATTTGAATATATTTAATGATATAAATAAACGTATATTTTAAAATAAAACGACCTTATATTTTATTCCCAACCGCCTTTAATGCTCATGCTTAAATTCTTTTTAAAGGTCAGCCGTACAATTTTGTTTAAGCCACTCCTCCGATCACATATTCTGGGCTACGTGTATTTGTAATGATGCGGCTCGTCATCAGCATCATAATTGCATCTCTATTAAATCTCTTTACCCGTTCCGTCTCAAAATTATTATTTGAATATTATATTTACTAATGAATAATCGTTTACCAGAATAAGTAGAATGTCGAATTAGAATTTTATAATGTAAAAAAAAATTAAAAATCAATTCAGATGCGATGGTGCGAGATAAATTACCGTATGGGTGCGAAGACGCTATCATTGTATCGTTCACTGATCACTCTTACTTGTAGCATTTAAAATGTTTATCAGAAATTAAAATATTTTAATCGCCACATCGGCGGGCCCCCGTAAAAGTAAGTTCATGGTTACCGACGGTCACCACTGACCACCACATACGCAACACACTTACACACGTGTACACAGCGGCGTAGATACAATTTTTTCTAAGTAGGGGATGTTTAAGAATTAATTCATAACATTCTTATTATATCTTAATGCGAGGTCCTATATCATAATATTACTTTTAAAATGGTATTATTATTATGTCCCGTATTTAATAAAAATTATTTTGTTACTCAATTTTTAATCTATACTTAATTATAGTAAAATGAAAATATAATTTTACCATAATATGTAAATATTAATAAATAATAATTAAATAACATTTAAAAAAAAAATTTGGGGGGGGGGGTTGAAACCTCATTACACCCCTCCACCACCACCACCACACGTAATTACGTCACTGCGTGTACATATGCTCATGCACTTGCACACATACGCTTGCACATGAAGTGTTATGATAACTAAATCATCAATCATATCTGTTCACGGTTTTGCGTCGCAACCGTGTGAGTTATGCAATCGAAACGATGCCAGTTTTATTCTGTACGGTAGCAACTACCGTAAAAAGTTAACAATTATGTACGTGCTAGTTTTCTCTTCTATTTTTACGAATCGCCGTCGTATTGATAATTTTTCGTTCAATTAAAATACGCGCTCATATCTCCGTTATTCGTACTATAATTTAGTGCACGTCGATCCGAAAAGTTTTTAATATTAAATGATGTACGCGTATTGGTCACCCTGTTCTATTAATAATTTATACTATTTATTTGTTTGTGCGTCAACCGTTGTTTTCAGATTCCCATTTAGTTATATGTACAGTTTTCTAGAACGAGTCGCGTGTCAAACGTACACAACGTCCAGTGTCGTCATAAAATAATTACGTATATCTGCGACAGTTATTTGTATAGGTTTCAAGTAATTGCGGCCGTCCAGTTTCGAGGTCCACAATATTCTTAAGTTATAAAAATTTATACACATTTTTATTTACAATCGTTTCGATATCCTTTTCTGTTGCGGACTGTTCGTGTAAATGTATTCGTATCATAATCGTGTTTCCGTGAATTGTTTTACATTCATTGTTTTTTTTTATTTTATTGCTAGTTCGTATTATCTGGACTCGCCCGAAATATATTTTACTGTCTTAGATCACTACAATTACTAATCCTACACCTAGAAATGTTAGGTCGGAAAAGCGCACAATCATCGTTTATTACTATGATATTTATTTGAATTTATTTATATTATATTTAATAACATATAATATCTCAATTGGTGATAATTAATACCAACGTGTTATAAAAATAAAATATTTCTAAACGAAAAAGTGAAAGGAATTAGATGACTGATATTTAATATCAACAATAGAAGAACCTATCTAATGCGATTCCAACGGAACATAAAAAAAAATTTTTGTATCCTTAAATTAACAATGATCTACAACCGCAATGGTGTATTTGAGACTTGGTTTCCATGTAAAAATGTGATCAACAATAAGTGATAGTTTAATACAAATTATAAACAATATAAATATTGAACAGTAAATGATCTGACCGAGTCCAAACGATTGAGTCAATAAAAACAGGCATAACAGTACACAACAATAGTACAAAAATTGAACAAACAATAATAACAGCTGACTGAGTAAATTATGAATTAGTGTCTTGCAATCACTCTGCAGTCATTCAAAGAAAGTTTTTTAGTCCTTTTGAATACATTCAGTCATAGTTTGAGATAATTAAAGAGAAAGATTTTAATACTATAAGTAAATGTATATAGGTTTTGATAATTAATAAGGTTAATAAATTATTATTTATTAGATTAAATTACATTTAAAAGAATATACAAAAAAAAAAAAAAATTAACACTAGAATAATGAAATTTAAAAAAATATTTCATCAGTAGTCCGTGATCTTCTAAAGGTTAAGAACCACTGGTCTAGAGAGTATACGGTAAAGTCCCGGATAACCATGAATAATAATAAATAATAAACAATAATTAGTTTACATTTATAGTATACATTTTACAATATAGCCAATATTATATCATATATATGTATATTAATATGTTCTACTCATCAAACAGTTTAAAAATATGATAAAAATTAATTATTTCAATTGTCTATTATTTAACTATAATTTTGATAGACGTTTTATTTATTAAATAATCCTATAGTTGTTGTTTTTAATTTTTCAAATTATGCATTATATCGAGGTTTTTTTATGAACTCAAATAATACGTTTCTTGAAAATCATCATTTTTTATGTTAAGGTAAAAACATTTGTAAGATATTTTTGTTGATACACAAGGTAAGTTACAAAAATGTTTGTTTTAAAGTGAGGTTCCTATTTGTTTATTTATTTATTCCGGACCAATGTTCAATTACAAGATAAACAATAGTTCACAGTTAATATTGAGCAATAACAAATTATAAGAGAAAATTAATAAACCACAATGAAATATGACTATTAACTATAATAACAATAAAAATAATAACCGAAAGAAATTCCGGTGATTAATTCCAACGCATCTATGAACGCGTTCAGAGACGCGCAGCCAATGCGGCGCGATTTAATTTTGGCTGTACAATTACTACATTACTTGTTTTTAAATGTAATCGATTCCTATGACCACCCCGAGACGCACAATTAGCGCAACCGGGCAAAATGTATTGTTTTCATATCGTCCTTAAAGAAGATTAATATATAATTAAATTTATGAAATCAATGTGGAAAATTCCCTGAACTTAGTTTCATCTTTCCTTAAATGTTTTCCTATCAGGAAACTGAGAAATCCTTCGGTTTTCCTGGATATTAACATTTCATGTGCTTCGTTTTTAGAACTGGCTAGTGTATATTTCACTGTTTCTTGTTCTTCATCTACTTCTTGTAAAAGAAGTAGATTCAAAAATAATTTTTTTTTTTTTTTGTTAACATTTTAAAATCGCCTACATGGTACGCGTACCATGTATGTTAATATGTTCCGAATTGAAAACTTGATGTACCTACACAATACAATAAATCTCGCGGTCAAGAATTCTTGTCAAAAGACGCGTACATGAGAAGTTACATTAACATTTTTCCGAACATATTGTTATCAAATATGACAATGTACTCGTACGTGTATGTCTTCTTGTGATGTTACATAAGGGATATCTTTAGGAAGTTTTAGTTGATTCACGGTACAATAGGACTGTCGTAAAAATTAAAAAAAAGTCGATTTCCGAGTAATCCGATAATACTATGAGCTCCCGGCCCAAACAAGTATCTTAACCAACGATTGTGCGTACGACCTCGAAACAATCTAACATTAAACGGGACGAAGATGTTCAAGAAAAAAACGTGTACACATTTATCGTGTAATGTCATATATAACCTAATATCGTTTTTTCCCAGCATTCAATCAACCGTATCGTCTTTTCAATAAATATTTGGTTTTTAGCGATTCAAATTGTGGTTTGAATTTGCGGTACACGAAAAGTGTATTGTAGAAATTACTTTCGCGGGCATTGTAAATTTAAACGTTTAACGTATGTTCCGGTGGAAATTGCTTTGGACGTGGTCCCCGATCCGTGTGTGCTGGAAAATAGATAATAGGTCAGTACTCGATAGTTGCAACGACTTGACTACCAGTGGACCGACGTTTATTTTGTTATTATTATTATTAGGGATCTCGTTTTTGTACGCGAATATAAATAGTACGTATTCTGTGATTGCGGGAACGAAACAAAATAAACTACCTTTTGTTAATACAAATTAATTAAAAAAAAAGCTTAGTCATGTAAACACGTATCTGAATCATATTCGTATATATTCTGTATATTCTGTATAATATATAAAACATTACCTAATTATTTACTGAGCCAACTTAAACAATTACACTTAGTGTTATTGATTATTACACCATTCTAATCTATATTGATGTTTTAGTTATGTATGACGAATTCTTAATTAATTTATTACTGTCTATGTGTTAGGCTTAGTATAATTATTATTGTTGAAATACGGAGGGCACCCGACTTCAAAGGAATTTAATAAATACCAATATTAATCATGGATTTATTTTTCTCTGTTTAGTTTATTACACGTAATTTAAATTTATTCACATTTTTTTATTTTATTACGTTATTTTTTAAGAAGTCGAGGGGTTTTTGTTAAATTTTTATTTTTTTAAAAAAAAGCTAATTCGTTTAATGAATTTTCATAGTGCAAATGATTCTCGCGATTATCGATGTAAGTAAACCAATCGAAAAATATATTTGTATATATGACAGATAGCTAGTAGTCGGTGACCCGATAAATTCACAGATTTACTTCCTTATATAAATTCAGAGACTCACGTGAATAAAATTATAGATGCAACGTGCAATTTTAAGCAACGGGTCATATAAATTAAACTTTAATTTCACACGTGTGAACATGTGAAAACATGTACATGTGAATTAGGGATCTCTAATTATTATTATTATTACTAGCTTAATTACCCGGTTTCGCCCGTGTGTAGTTTTTGCTTTCTCTGAATGAAATGCTTAAATCAACACATATTTTTGTGTTTTAAAGAAGAAAAAAATGTATTTTACCTAATTTAATCAAGTGCTAAATAGTAGTAGTAGTAGCTGATTTATAATTTATATATAAAAAAAAAAAAAAATAATAATAATTATAATAGTTACAAATGATTCTAATGATTCTATAATCGTTATTTTTTTTCTTTTATATATAAATACTTTTTTATCTTCCAATTTTGTGATAATAATATTTAAAAATTTTCCAATTTTTTTTTTTTGCAAAGTCGCGTACTGGCCCACTGGATACCGAGAAAATCCCGGTAGGCCCTCTTAGAAATTATAAAATCTGGGCCCCTTGCTAAATAGGTACCCGTAGCTTCACTTAAATTCAGTAATTTTATTATTTTTAACAATTTTAATTGTACAATTGAAAAGAGAAAATTACATAAAGGACAAATAATACATTTCGTTGGTTATTTACTGATAATGCAATTTTTAGTGTATTTCTTTATGATTTCAATTTTATTTTCGAAATCAAGTAAATCATTTATTACGGTTTTAATATGAATTTTTAAACGATTTTTTCCATTCCTTGACTCCGGTGTCAAATATACTACTGTACCGTTCGAACATTTTATCATCAGTTATTTTAAAAAGATCTTCTCTTCTTTTTGTAAACGTCAAGAACATATCTTTTAATTCTGCATCGTACTCGAGTATCATAGGAGTAGTTGACGTTCTTATTTGTTTAAAATACTCAAAGGTTTTTTATCATATTTTTTATCTACAAAAAATAATGTATTGTTAAATGTACTAAGATAATCAGATATTATAAAGTATAAAAATATATTAGATTATACACTATATGTGTAATTCAAATAAATAATTGTGTAATTAACTGCATATTTAGGTTAATTTTATATAAAAATATACTTTTTTGATCTGGTCGAAAAATAATGTAACGTGATCAAACGAAATGACAAAAAATATTTCATAGGGCTCAAAATCTTTTATGATTAATATGTTTTGCATTTTATTGTAGCAATTGAATGAATGATATTTTATTGAAATTCATTCGACAAGTTTTTCAATCATTATTTGTTTTGATTGTTCCCAAAAAATCTCTGTGTTGTTGTTGGTTAAATAATTTATGCTGCTTATGACAATCTGATTTAAACACGTCAAAAGTATTTCCGTTATAAGAGATTTATCGAAAGAGTAACAAGAAAATGTTTGGAACATCAACAGAGTATTGAAAACATTTTCAATTGATAATTTCAAATGCCCAATATCACTCGAGTATAATTCCTTGAAAATCGCTTCGCACGAATTCAAATATTTTACAGTGTCTTTGATATTTTTGTACAAATGTAGAATTCTTTGTTTAACAATCATCCAAGGCTGTAATTCGTATATATATCGATTATTAATATAACTATTGATTATCACGTAAGATTACAGAGCAAATATATATTTACTTTAAGTAGAACAGAATTAGTCCGTTTCATAGCAGTTTCGGCAAACTGAGCTAAATTTCCCTCGATCAGGAAACATACTTTGTCTAACTTAAATTACATTTTTCTATAAAATGTAATTTGTGTATGCGGTCCGAGTGTTAATGTTTTTTGTAATTCATACTTATAGCTCTGAAGCATCTATAATTAAATAATTTACATTTAATTATTGTATTTTATAAATTATATTTACATAAATATATTAACAGGGAGTGTCGTGATCGAACAGGATAAGGTAGCAGCAGATACTGGTTTGAAACCGGTCAACGGTAGTTTAGCGGCACCAAGACCACCTTCAGAAAAGAAATCACAGATCGAACGGTAATAGTATGGTAATAATATGGTATATTATTATCTATATTATAGACTATGTTCAATAAACGAACTATATCGTAATCACGATATGTCAAGATTAGACTCTAACCTGAGTTTTGCCACTGAACACCTTCATCGCTGTTCGTTAATACGACGATTTTAATTTTAAATTGTTCCGCTGATACTAGCCGAAATGTATTGTGATTTGAGTTGTTTTACCAATAAAAATGTAACAATACAGTTTACCTTGAATGAATTTAGTCTTCAAAACCATTATAAAAATAAAAAAATAAACCCATTTATATAAATCATACTATAGGTACCGAAAATAAACACACGGTAGGGAAGGGTTAGTGAACTTTGAGATAAAAATTATCTTTAAAAAAAAATATGAGACGTGATAGAGAACCAGTGATAAGCGAAACGAACAGAGATGATCGGAAAATTTTTTGGAAAAGTTAAATGAAAGAACGTTGTATTCAAATACATAAACAACTGTTTTATATTATTGACATTGATATTTTTTATCACTCGCTAAAATTATGTCCAAAATGTCACGTCGGATCACGTCGATATCACACTCATCGTCGTCAATCAAATCATTGTGCAAATGCATGAGTGTAAGCGTGAATAATCGTTCATAGAATTATTCATTACCTTACGGCAGTGGCGTATGTAAGGGGGGTGCATAGTGGGCTACATCCCCCTCCCTAAATGTTATAAAAAACTTATTTTAAACATATGTTATATCGTATTTTAATGATGCTTTATACTTATTTAGAATTTGCGTCCAACGTCAAATTGTTTTGGCACTTTCTGTAAATGAAAAATAAATAAGTACCTACTGTATCTTGTTAGTAATTCTTAGATAGCAATGGTAATTTAACTCTGTCCATAGCAGCCCCTCCCGAAAATATTTTCTGTATACGCCACTACCTTACGAGTATATTACGCACCGATTAACGAATAATAATAGTGTGTTACGTGATGGGCACAGTGCCACAGGTGAAGCTTGAATTTCGTCATTACTGAATTTGCCTTTCCCCGCACTAGCCACAGATATTAATTAGATAATAACAAACACTAATTAGTAGGGCTCGGACGTTTATAAAATTGCTTATTTTTTTTCTATTTATCCAATTCAATGCTAATATGGATACAAATTTAATTAATGTTCTACTGAATCAAATAATACTATTTTTACATTGCATATTTTTGCATATGTAATGGTTTTGTTTTTTAATTGAATATTTTGGGGTTTTAAAATAAAAATGCATATTTTAGTACATTTTTTAAAAAAAACAATTTAAATTAATGAACTATACAATTAATTCCACCAGTGGCAGACCCAGAATTTTCTTTCTTTTTTTTTTTTTTTTTTGTGGGGGTGTTGAAAAATATTTTATGGGATGTTTTTTATAACATTGCAGTCAGTGATTGATAATGAATTAAGTTAATAGTAAGTAATATAATACATTTTTTTAAATCTAAGACAACTAATTTCTTGTATGAATAAAAATACAAATTATATACTTTCCCTCATACTTTAAAAAAAAAAAAAAATTCTTAGTTCATAAAATTATTGATTTTTAATGTATATTTTTTTCCTGATTTGGGGGGGGGTTAACCCCTATACTCCTCCCGTAAATCCACCTCTGAATTCCACTATTTGTATATATAAGTGTTATAGGTGTGGTAACTACAATTTACCACGCATTGGGGAACATGATCAGAGGCGGCAATTTACTACTCTGATAATTCGAATAAAAAACAAATTGAAGGTCAAGGATCATAAATTCTTCAAATATGCTCCAATAAATCATTTGATGTAGAACGAAGTTTTTCATGGTATAAAAATATACTTAGTGATAACCAGTGTTGGGACTTATAAATTATCTAGATAGATTTTTTGTTATATTTTATCTTATCTAGATAAATAACGCTAAGTTATCTAATTACTTATCTAAGATAACATTTTTACTTATCTTGATAATTATCTGTATTCTTGAAAGATTAGAGTTATTTTTATTCTTGTACGGAGACGAATCCAATAAATCAGAGATCATAAAATCGGTCCAGCGTTCTTGAATTATAAATTCTGTAACTAACCAGACTTTCTTATATATTTATATATATAGATTTTGTATTTATAATCATAATTCGTGTATTATAAAGGTTAATAAGTAATTATTTCCTGGTATGACATTTTGTTTGTATTTTCATGTCGGAAAAATATTTTTGGTATTTTTAAACTTAATTTCTTATTTTTCCACGGAAGTTTCAATTATAGTAGGTATTTGATTTTAATAAATACATGTAACTTATATGCTGAATAGTCAATACTTCACTCTTGGAACCAGTAAAGTCGTAACTACTTATATAATAATGAAAATCATCAAATTATGATTGTATGAAAAACAATATTGTTAACTTAAAATAATTTTTATGTATTCTGTATTTATCGTACAGAGCAATTTTCATTTTTTTTTTTTTTTTTTTTTATTTAACATTTTAGTGATTAACTATCATTAAATATTATACATTGTATATAAATACTGCTTAATGGTACACTATATTACTACAATAAACATTAAACACCTAGTTACCTATTGATAATAATGATTATAATTGAGTCTTCATAGATATTATTACAAATATGAAATATTGACCAAAAAATAAAAATGTTTGAAAATATCTTTTTTTTTATCGAGATAAAAATAAAATTATCTTTTATCTTTATCTAGATATTTTAACTTTTTTCATCTATTATCTTTATCTAGATTGATTTGGACATATTATCTTTCATCTATACCTAGATAAATTTTGCATTATCTATCCCTAACACTGGTGATAACAGACGCAGTTACAAATTTGATTAAACTAAAAAAACCAAGTATTACAGTATAACGCTAATAATGTAATATATAATAAATAATAATGTAAATAAAACACTATACTATAAAAATGTTGTTTTATGCGTAATTTCGTGTTTTTATTGGCTAAAAATGTATATTTTATAATTTTTAGCGCATATTTCGTAATTTTTTAGTGCATAAATGCATGCATATTACAGTAGTTTTAAGTGCATAAACATCCGAGCACTACTGATTAGTAATATTTCATAGAAGTGGCGCCAAAACCAAAATATTCATGAGCCCATTTATCAAATTAAGAGACATCATCACCTTGCAACTTAATTAAAAGCCCTAATAATATTTGCATTATACAAAATATATTGTTCAAATATGAAATATTTAATTAATCTACCGGGTATTATATATTAATTATGAACCGTTTTTGTTATTAGTTAATAACTCGTTGGCTCAATTACCGGAAAATGCACTCACACTCACATCGCTCGATTTTAATGCTTTAAAAAAATAAATAAATGCCGTATCAAAAAATACATTCATCACCTAAAAGGTCTAAAACATGCCCTAAAAATATTAGAAAAATGCACTTTTAAAAAATTAATTTAAACATTAATTTACTTTAAAACATTTTATTTTTGTATTAATTTTTTAAAAATTCAGAAAAAAAATTTTTGTTTGACATGTGAACTATAAAAATGTATATAAAATTATATGTAAATACCTATATAAAAAATTTGTAAAAATTCTAATCCAACAAATCGCATCTACAAAATGTTTAAACTCTGTTAATGCTAATTAATTAATTAATGTTAATACCATGTTTATAATTCAATGAAGTCAATTTTTTTAGTCTTAATTTCAGAAATAGATTAAAAATGTCTTAAATAATAAAATTCATTAAAAGCGTTAAAAATGCAAATTATATACTTTCCTTCATACTTGAAAAAAAAAAAAATTCTTAATTCATAAAATTATTGATTTTTAATACATATTTTTTTCCTGATTTTGGGGGGGTTAACCCCCACAGTCCCCCCATAGATCCGGTTAGACCAGTGAAAAATACTACCTTTCCAAAAACTATTCTTTTTCCCTCATAGAACGGAATAAAGCTCACTTTTCATATCGCATCTATGCATCAAACTCGCATCGATAAATAATCTTTTAATGCATGTGTAACAAAAAATAAATTGCCTTTTGGTGCGAATATATCCCAGCTTTGAATCATTTTTTCAGCTTTCAAAACTAATTCTTTTCTATAAAACATGTTCTCCGCATCTTTAGATGGAACTTTTAAATTTTCCAAAAAACTTGATGGCGATTCAAATCCAATATCCGCAGTACAGTTCTTAGATAATTCCATAAAATATGCTTTTTAAATAAAAAGTGACATTTCTACAACTAACCATTGATGTATGATCCCATGACTTGAGCATTTCGCACAAGCATTGATAGCTGGCTGCGTGGCAATTGTTTCGATAAATTACATTTTTTAATTGCATTTGCGTATAATTGAAAAATTTGATTCATTCCTCAGAGCTGTGCCATAATTGATAACAACTAAATGTACGTTTATGTTATTTATAAGATGAAAACTTAACTCTAAGCAATATATTTAAAACTAAAACGCTTTATTATAAATTTATTTTAACAGGTTGAATATAACTATAGAATCCCTAATTGTTAATTATTATTATATTATTAATTATTATTAGTTCAATTATTCGTGTTAATTAATTATCGTTTCTTTTTTTGTGGCTTACGTTATCGTTCGTTGTTCATTATTACTAAGGCTCGGATTTTATAGTATTTGCTAATTATTATAGGATACAGATAAAAGTAGTAGAGTAAGCTATAAGTTTGTTTTATGCACATGGGACTCTAAATATTGCTATTTATTACATATTTGAAGTATTTTAGATTTACAATGTTATTTTTGAAGTTTTGTTGCTATTTTTTTTTTAATATGCATAACATAATGCTTCATTTTGTATTTTTCATAAATCTCGCTTATATTGAATGAAAAATAGGAAAAACTTTTCATTTATATGAATCTATAAGAAAAAAACCCACTTTTTCGTTTAATATTAATATATTATATAATATAATATTAGTGATATTATAGTCTATTTTTGGTAGCTCGAATATATCAAATAATATTAATTTATTATTTTAACCACTTATCTGTTTTATTTATATTTCTTTTATTATTGTTTATATTGTTGTATTTCAGTATTAGTCAATTTTACGTATCGTTTGCTTATATTTATAAATTGTAATCGTTTATTACTTTATTTTTTTTATTTTTTTTTTTTATTGCTATTTTAAATGTTTTCAGGGCATATTATAGCGCATATTTCAGTACTTTTTAGTGCTATAAAATCCGAGCTCTGGTTATTACTAAGGTTCGGATTTTTAAACAAAAATTATTATTAAATATGTATATATTTATGCATTTAAAAATTCTAAAATATGTAAACAATTTTTTACAACACTCTACGAATAATTTATCTTACTTTATATCAAGCAATATTACAATATGGTCTGTTGGTCTGGGTAGGTACAGCTAAAAACTCAATACAGCCACTAATAATACAACATAGATTAATAATTATAATCTGCTTTGTAAGTTAAGCCTAGAAGGATCAACAATAGAAAATTTTAAACTATTCAATGTTTTACCACTAGAAAAACTGTACAAAAAAATAGCTATATTTTTCATAATTAAAAATTATAATCTATGGCTGCACGTATTTAACATACATGATAAAAGAGAAAATAGAGCATATGATGCTAAAATTCCTTACACTAAAAAATCTTTCGTATATAAATTTGTTAATTACGTATCTTATCCTATGTATTTCAACTCACCGCCAGTTAATATTAAATAAGTATATACGCTAACTCTCTGAGTCTTAAAAGTCGAATCTCAAAAAATTGATTGTTAACTAGTTAAACACTCCTTTAGATTAGTGTTTTATGTTTATTATATATTATATTATGGTTTGTTATGTACAACTCTTTGTTTAATTTCTTTATTTATTTTATTTACTTTTATTTATAGTTGATCAATTACTATATTAATTACTAGATTTTGTAACTCTCTACCATCATCACAAGCTTGCTTACAGATGGTAGATAGATTCATCTTATTTTATTATTGTAAACTTGTTTTTTTGAGCTAAGTATAATTTATAATAGATTAAAAAAAAAATTCTTTATTGTGTGTGTAAAAAACGTGCAAAATATATGTATAAATATATATATTATATTGAAAAAGATACAATTTAAATATCAGTATACTTCTGCTAACAAATGTGTACAAAATGTTTATAAACAAAGTTTAATTCAATAAATGCAAAATTAATAATAAATAATGAAGGTATTACATTTTTTTTTGATGAACTGTAAAAGGGAATTGTTGGCCAACTGACTTAATGTGTGAACAAAGTACAGAAATGTTAAGAATGTTGAAAGTTTGGTTTTCAAACATTTTACTGAACTATTTTATAGTTTTGTGTAAGAAATTGGTAGATAACCTGGCTTTTGTAATTGATAGGTTAAGCTACTATTGATAGTTACATGAGACTCATTTCTATTGGTATTTATATTAAGTGGGCCTTAATTCCGATTTTGCGTCGACATTATTCAACATTGATTAAATTCGACAAAAAAATAATAAAAATTGAGCAACGTGGTGATACTTTGAAACTACTCTGAGAAAAAAAATTGGAAAAATGTTAATTGGTGTTGTCACAAAATTATAACATAAAAAAATACCTATGTATATATATATATATATATATAAGGATAAGGATTATTAATATTATTATCTACAGCAGCTGTAGACGATACATCGTCGATTTTGATCCGTCGTGTATTTACTCCTTCGATTATACGTATATTAAATTAAATAAAACAATTTTATCGTTCCACCGATGTTTTGTTATTATATTATTTTTCCGTCGACTATTGTTTTACGACCGCGTTACGGTTGCTCGTTGGTAATAATCGTTTTTCGACCGACCGCCGTCGAGGCCGTCGCGTAGCTATCGTTAAAAAACAAAAACTATTGCGTTCGACCGTCAACCATATTATAATACCACCGTAAACGGTGTTCAATTCGTTTGATTCGTGTCGCACGATCGTAACTCGAACCTAACCGATAACAATCGTACTTGGCAGACCAATCCTACATTCTAGACCGTTCTACATAATTCTAATCTAGAATCCATTTTAACTAAACTTCTCTCTGATTTAACTTCTATAATAACTCTTTTATCATTTCCATATTTAATAAACAAATTCATAAATAAATTATCTAATACTGTTATCGTTTAACGTAACTTATCTTATATTATTTTAACTTAACATTACAATTTACGGGACCACCTAATCGTATATTGCTATTTAGGTACCTATACTAAATTCTATATATATATATATATTGTATTATCTATACATGTTTATTATTATTTTTTTAATATTAATTAGTTTTTTTATATCACCATCTACACTCTATCATTTCCTGCATTGTTATTATATCTGTTTCTGTATTTAATGTAATTGTCGAACTATAATAGTATTTGCTGAAAGTTCTAAATAAAACAAAAAACAATCTATTAGATTAATACATTTGTAAACAAGTAAACCACTACTAATTTAAATAAAACAAAACCGTTTTTTTAAGTCTTATTTTTTACGGCACATAATTTGATATGAGTTCTAGGAAATGTGATATTGTTTTTAACATTATCCATGGTTTAAAAATGTTGAACACCGCCCTAGGCGTTGGCCACGTCGCCTACCCCTTGGACCACGCCGTTCGTTGCACACATCAATACAACCGCAGGGCCGCACCGGTAGACGTGTACCAATTAAACGTACTCGTAGTTTCCCTTCCGTTCCCTGTTTGAAACGATCCGATGTTGACGTTTACAACGGAAAGCATGTGACAATCAATCGAGCGCGATGCCGGTTTTATGTTTAGTACGAGCGCGTTTGTAGCAGTTTGTACCCGAAAACGTGTTTATTTTTTTTGTTTTTCGGTGAGGCGTTGATGTCGCTAACGTGTTATTGATGTACATGCGGAAAGACTACGAAATAATTGACCGCTGAAACGAAAAAGATTTCGGCGCGGTCGCACGTTGGTGAAAACGACGAGTGGGATAAAAAAAAACAACCTAATCCATGTCAAATCGTTCAACGCTACCGAACACCGGTCTAGTGCGTGACAGTGTTTTGAGACTCGTGGGATGGCCCTGCGGTGGTTGCGCGGAGGATCCAATACCCGTTTCCGTTGCACATTTGCTCGCACCTGTGAAACTTACGTGTCAATATTTTGTTTTTCGTCTAGGTACCTATAAGATACGTGATCGGAGATGGCTGGCTAGACTAATTCGGTTTGCGTTATCGAAAACAAACGAAATGGTTGTAATTATTTGTTTTACAATCATGGCTTATTATTTTCGATAAGCATATAGTACTTTACCATTACTACTACTAATCATTTATGTTAATGAAACGTTCCAATCGAGTCAACTTTTCAGAACACTTAACATTCATTTCACATGTTTTAGTAATTTTTCATTCATTTACCGATAAATATTGAGTAAGACGTATGGAGACTAAGATTAAAGGCGACAAAAAAGCACGAGAAAATCTCTTTGCCGAAAGGATTGGATAAAAGCAATGAGATGATATCAAACGTTATTCCACGAAGTCAATACATAAAAAAATATTTTAAATTAAACTATTTTATTAAAAAAAAAAAAAAAATCTTAATCCTACAGTATATGATATCTTAATATAATAATAATATAATATAATATCTTAATGTAGTAATAATATATTATAAAATCTTAATATAATAATAATATAATATAAAATCTTAATATAATAATGATATAATATAAAACCTTAAAATATAATAATGATATAATATAAAATCTTAATATAGTAATAATATAAAATAAAATCTTAATATAATAATAATATAATATAAAATCTTAGTTTAATAATAATATAATATAAAATCTAAATATAATAATAATAAAATATAAATCCTAATATAATAATAATATAATGAAAAATCTTAATACAATAATAATAAAATATAAAATCTTAATATAATATCTTAATGCAAAATCCTAATCCTATAAAATAATTTTGTTTTTTTAAAATAAAGTATAAATTTAATTTTGATATTCATAGTAATTAAAAAATAGATTATAATAATTATAAACATGTGACAGAGAAAATACTTCGCCAGTCCCAGTTTAACGCGTCACACGTAATTTATTTAATATTTATGATCGATAAAAGAATACTACTAATATTATATTACTTTAATAATTAATTATGGCACAAAATACAATTCTCCTTTTTGTTAGCATTGTAGATAAAATAAAATATTATTTTAATGTATGTTTTGTACGCTACTTATATTGAACTTCCGGCAGCCGAATAACACCAATGTTTACACCAAAACTCCATAGACTGCCGGTCGATGTCCGAGCAATTATTTCAATTTGAGTGAGTTCATCGCACCTGCACATACGTCTTCGGGAGCGTCTTTGAATCTTATGAGAATGCAAGTCATATTGTCCAAGCCACGACCACCGCAAGCAGCTTTAGAGGGCGCCAAACATCTAAGGATCAACTAAAACAAACAAGGTGCAGTCGGTTTAATCGTGTGCTGGAGAAAAACAATAGTTATTGTAGGGCCGGTCGAGCGCATACGATATGTACTCACGTGTTGGCAAATCTCCGACATTTTCACGGTAGGGCTTTTAATGAACTCGGACACGATTATAGCGGCTTTGTTCCGGGTAATGGAGTTCCATATGCCATCACATGCGATCAACATGAATCTGCCGAATTCCGGTTTTATCTCTTTCACTTTGACCTCTGGCATGCCAATGATGATCTGCTCTGTCATTGATAGCAAGCTGTTCCCCTTGTACAAATGGTCACCTGTTGGGAGAAAGAGTATGAAATGACGTTTAAAACAATATAATCGAAAATCTTGTTGTTATTAGACACACGGTGTACAACCACTGCAAGAAGTACACGAGCAATTACCTAAAGCCCGGGACATGTTCAGATCGTGGTTCACTCTTCCATTAGCAACTATTCCGCCGGCCGCTAGGATTCTTGACAGCTCCGGTTCGTACTTGGGATTATGATCCTTTGTCATATAAGTGCATTGGACGAGATGATCGGAAATGATGCACCCAGAATCTCCGACGTGAGCCACATACATTTTAGTATTTTCCCAATCGTTTACTGATAACGCCACTACGGCAGTAGTACCACTAGCATAACCGAACTTGAAAATAAAATAAACCGATCATCAACGACATGTACAAGTATAATAACAAAATAAACATCATGAGTCAACAAAATTCGATAAAATAAATTAATTATTACGTTTTAAGAAAAAAAAAATTGGACATTTATTTTTAATAATATTAATATTATTTTCAATTCATCGCACCAATGTAATAAAAATAAATGTCATTTAAAAGTTGATAAAAAGAAATATTAATAATGATATACATTACCGAGGTTTTGCTGGAAAACTTGTCATTTGTTCCATCACTTTTTGCTAAGGAAAAGAATAAAATATCACAATTATTATAAATATGAATATTGTTCAATACATATCAGCAGTGCTATTACGGCTATGTCGTTAGTTGTGTATAATTTGTATGCACAAAGTATATAATTGAAAAAAACGTTCGCGTATAGCATCACGGATTTAATTCAATACATTTTAAATCATTTTATAATATGTACGTGAGTATAATAATAACATAATAATAAATAATAACAGGACGCTGAACTAAAAGTAAAACGTAGACAAATAATAAATGTAAGAAAGAAGTACGCGTGGAAACGATTAAGTTATTATTTCCATAAGTACATTAAGATAGTTGTGATTCACAGGCATCCGCCTAAAGGTAAAAAATTCACGTAGACCTACGAGAAAATTAAAGTGTTATACAATTCGATAATTTTTGAAGTACATATAAAAGTAAATGAGAGAAAAAGTAGTATTAAAACATTAAAAATATGGTACTTTTAATAAAAAAATGTTTCGATAAATGTACCCGCGATGTATTTTATTGACAAAATTATCTTATAGTCCTCGCTAGCTCATTGGTCATTCCTAAAGAATTGGAAAATAACAACAATGTTCTACTAAAACTAATACAAGACAACTATAAAATATTTTGTACGAGTACAAATGCAATTCATAAGACGGAAAAATAGTGAATACATTTTAAAAAAAAGTAATTTAACGTCAAAAAAAAAATTATTCCAGAAATATTTGGGAAACGTATATTGTATTTCAATTACAGCATTCCGAATACCACCAGAGTGGTGTGTACAGAGTGAACGCAGTACCAATCCACCGTACACAGCTGTTTATGTAGTACAGCTGCTGTGGCTCCTCAAATCATGTCGCACTTGCTACATGCGCGTGCAACGGTACATCGTACCGTCATTATATCGCGTAACAGTGGACCTTGTGTAGACGTAGGAGCGCAACACCGTTGTGTGAAAAAAGATGACGTGATAGTGTTACGTTCGAGAGCCACCGGTTGCCGGTGAATCTTAATCGCATCAAATTATGTCGCCAGGCGAGATTACGCGAACAGCGTGTACACTATCTTTCACCATGAATGCAGGTTCGAGCATTCGTAAATTTATATCATCCACAAACATTGATATATGTTAAACAATATTTCGCTTCGGAATGAAACGAACAGATTAAAGTTTTAATACAATTAATTGAAATTTATTAGAAAAAAAAAATACAATAAACACTGTACGAACCGGTTGGAATTTCAAAACTTCAATTTAAAAATATTAGAAACGAATTTCTATAATAAGCCCCCCCCCCCCCCCCCAATCAATAGTGGATACGTACTCATATACTATAGAAAAACCGTCTTACAGTTCACGTAATCGTCATCAGCGAGCGTAACGAGTGAAAAATAAAACAAATAACAATACAATAAAAATAATATTATTCGCTTGCACGGCACGTGATGATAAATATCGTTTTAAATCATAAAGTCTATTCGGCTAATTGATATAACTAATATAAATTTGTACTGAAATAACAAATTACTTACAGTTGTTCTTCACAGGGTATCCGTGGAGCGCTTTCATTCTTGTATAACCGTCCATGGTCAGCAGATATTCGTCGAAATCCATGAACGCTTTTTTCAAAGCCTCCCCGTAATCACCATCACGATAAAAATCATTTTTGATCAACTCGGGTATCTTTTCGGCCGCGCATAGAGCCACCTCGGGGCCACCGTGTCCGTCGAACACGCCGAAAAGCGATTTGTTTTCATCAAAGTTCAAAATACTCAAGTGGGCGTCCTGAACAACGAGAAAAACAACAATTGTAATATTACAGTCGGGTCATTGTATAGTACCGACTACAAATTGAAGTGCTTTTCAAGCAACGCCTGTCGCAACACCGTACTACATATAATATAGAACTTGAAATGTAATTCATTAAAACGGTTTATTTCGAAAGCATATGCGGTTTAAGAAGAAAAAACATTTGTCACGTAGGTAAAAAACCGTTCACTGATTGCTTATTGTCATTACAAGATTTGCCATGAATCAGAACTAGTGTTAAGTTAATTGTTCGTACGTATATGATTGCAAGACGTAATAATGGTCACCACATTGACGGTCCGTTGACGATCCCCTGCACGCACCCCTGTTTATTCGATATTTATCGCGGTGCGTGATAATAAAACCGGTGATGCGGACGAGACGATCGGAGTGGGTCGCGTGGGAAAATCAATTTAGAGCAAGGGTTGCACCCAGCGAATGTGACGGGACGCAGGACGCGCGCGACGGTCCTTACCTCCTGTGACGAGCGCCAGCCTTGCATGGTCGCGACGCCGCAAGACACGAACTCGTTTTCCGTGTCCTCTGTGACCATTTCAGTGATCGGCTCGTCCAGGTAAGCCGATTGCATTGGTGTGTTCGACTTGAACGCGAACGTGATGATGCCGGTTCACGTGCACGAGAGCGGTTAAAGTGTGGCGCGCGGACGAAAGAAACTGAACGGACGAACGTGACGAACGGACGAGACAACGAGCGCAACTGACGGCGGTGTACGGCGCAGCGCGACGGCGGTCCGGCTCGGCTGGCCCGGGGGATAGCGTGCCGACCAATCGCAGAGCTCGCTCACCGGTCCGGGTGCGCGCGGGACGGTCTCGAAACACATCGATACCCCTCCGGACACCCGCCACGATCGTAGATCCCACGAAACGATTGTGCGGCTCCTTCTCCAAGACGGTCTCACCGGGGTGCAACGCGTTTCCACGTACTTGTTACGAAGGGTGGTGTGTTTTTATTTTTATTTTTTTTCGTATTGTCCTGCTCGTCCTTTTTTTTTCTTTCTACGTTCCGACGACGCGCATCTCGTAGGACTGGTCGTAAGATTTCTATACGCATTCCTGGCACGGAGATGTCCCGCGTACCTCTCAATGCGTACGCTCCGTCGTGGGTGAACGTTTATCGCTTTCGAATGGCCATTCGTTTTCGACATTGTTCGGTACGTCTTTCCGAAGATTTCGACGTAGTTCGAGTTTTAAATCGAAAAGCGTAAAACAATTTGTAGGCATTTTGATGTTTTCCTCTTCTACGGTAAAGTGTACGTCGCAACGTATATGATAATTGGGTCATTAAATAATACCAGTAATTAATATATTATATATATATATATCAAACGAAAACATTTTGGTTGAATTATTTTATTTGGTGGGGAAAATTTAATTTAAAAATTATTACGAACCAAAAATCGCAGTATTTGTTAAAATAATACATTTTATCTATTTGAATGTTTATTTTTCCATGAATATAAATACATTATGCCATTATTGTTGTACAGTTGTATACCTTAGGTTTTGTAGAAAATTTATACAAAAGAAAAATTTGTATTTTTTGAAATTCAAAAAATCATTTTTAGCCAACTATTTTCATTTTCGAACCACTGTGCGTCGTATTCACGTTATCCCTAACTGACAGCTAATGTTAATTAAGCGAAACGACTGATTATTATATCATGTTGCGATGCGGATCAAATAAATTACGCAAAGCCCTTCATAAATAAGTATTTAAATAATTCCAATAAAATGAGGTGTTTCACGAAAACAAAATTTTATATCACCAATCTTCAAGAAGTATAAAAAATCTATTTATTAGAAAATCTTATCTTATAGTAGACGTACGTTTTTCAAGAATAGGAATTTTAAAAAATCCATCATTTAGGCATTAAAAAGGGTTCCTTGAAAAAAATCACTCTGTATATAACATTCGAGATTGTTCGTATAACCCAAGCAGTTCTTATAGACTACCATAATATTTAAAACATTTCTAGGTAGCCCCACAAAAAGCTCAGTTGCATATTTTTGTGTCGGACAAATAATACTGAATTAAATTTCATTTTATTCATCGTCATCCACGTAAGACTGCCACTACTAGAATTATTTTATTTATGGATGATCAAATATAAATAAAAAACGCAAAAGTGTGTTGGAAATTTGTTCGCGTTAAAATTGTTTATTTAAGATTTTTCACGGTAAAATCGTACACGGATTAGTTCACTAAAACCGAATTAATTTTTGAAATCGATTATCGTTGGTCGGATACGTATATAATCTATACCGAACGACCGCTATCACGAAAAGTCGCCGGTAGACTTCTTTGTTCGACTAGCGTCGTTAGTCCGTGTAATATCAACGTCGCCGTAATGTCCAGACCGTTTATCTCGTTAGTCTATCGTTCATATGGTACATCATCAATCTGCAGGACGCCTGTGTTGCGAATCCTGGCGACGGGGCGGAATCAACCCTAGTACCCAGTGATACTGGTCAAATTTACTTATTACTTCACCCCCTCACCCCACGCCGACAACCATTGATTATTATTTTCCGCCTTTGTTGAGGCATCGTTATTGTTATCGTGACCACTAGCTGGATTAAGACTTTTGTTGTCACGAGATATCCGTACAATAACGTTACTATACCAAAATATTTTTTTTTCCAATTCCGACAAAATCGTTTCGACACGACAAATCGTACTTTTGTCTCGGTGGATACGCGCGCGTTGGACGATTTCGACAAAGACACACGTTACGTTCAATTCACTCGTATATCAGTTCTAATCTTGCGTGTAAAAGGTATGGGACTTGCTTAATTTACATAAATTCATGTTCTCTCACGGTTTTCATATACGAGTCGGAACGTGCGTGATTTGACGGGTAGATTAAAATCATGGTTATTTATCACAGCATTTGATTAAAAAAAAAAAAAAAATAATAATAATATGTAAAATAAAAAAAATATTAATAATAATAATTTGATAATACGACGGCCTACGTTTTAAAGTATTCCGTGTAAATCTTCCACGATCAACTCGAACGTGTCTACACACACTCGGCTGCCATCACAGTAACCGTACAATATTCATCACGTGAGTCGTTTACATGTTTTTTCCATTTCATCGTATCGAATCCGATTAGGAGGTATATACAGCATTAAGAAATATCTGTTATGTTTGATTTTAGGCGCATAAATTACCCGTGGAATCCCAGTAACCATATTATAATGCACACTGGTGGACAACGATGCTTTCCCCCAAAACGGGTTTTTCGTCTTTCGTGCGCACAGCTTAAGCATATTACGGGCGCACCGTGAATGCATTATCTTTATCGAATAAATTGTATTTAATCTTCATTCGTACGGTGTACATGCATTTATAGACACACTATATGCATCATAACGTGTATACGCACGCACGCGGTATATGTACATAAATATCTAAACGCATACATTACGTGCACACACGGAAACCGGTTGTTAGAAGTTATTTCGTGTTAGGACCACCGCCGTACGCCGTTGTAGTTGCAACGCAGCCGGGACACATAAAATACGACGCGCGCAGTCCAGGATGTTAATATAATATGAATACCCGTGGATCGATCACAATAGCGGCCGTGTCAACGCAGCATGGGGGATCCTTTTAGGGAAAACGATAATCCATGTGTACACGTTACGTAACGGACCACAAGGCAAGGCACCGGATTTCGAATCGTACGCGACATTACCATATGCGCGTGTGTATAATATAATAATTATCGTTATTGTACGCCTAACTAGCCAACTCCACTCGAGCCTGTTTTTCAACAGTGAAATAACGATGGCACTATAGAAGGGTTAACGATGGTAAAGGAAGACCGTACGTTTGACACCAGCATGACGTCGTGGTATGCGCTCCGGTCGGAATATGTATATAGGCAATGGCGGTGGGGGGGATAGAGAGGAAAAGATGATCCTCGATCCGTTCACCGAAGAAAAAAAAAACCGTTCAAATCTAGAATCCAGTTTTAGACGTACCACAGTGAATAATATAAAATACAGGCGTTTTAAATGAATCAAATGTATAGTTGATTAAAATAATTACAATATAAGCCAATGTGGTACACTGATACGGTATAGAACGTTTTCAATTTTTCCTAGCTAAAAGCAGCAGGGTCAACAATAATTGTTTTAGTTACAATAATCCGAAAATCGTATTATCGAAACGAGTGAAGGTTCAGGACAAGGGTGGCCGACCCCAAACAGTTGGGAGAACGGCGAAGGAGAAGAAGAAGTTACAATAACACGTGTTCAATGTTAAACATAGTATTAGTCTGGTTCATGGCCTTCGGAAAAAAATGTACAATGGACCCCCGAACGATATAATTCTACGGAATGAGATGCAATAACTGCCCGCTAAAATATTTTTTTCTTGCTACGCTCAATCTATACAACAAATTTTATTCTCTTTTTATTTTATATTTTTCCAAAGACAATATTATTGAATTATCATTGTGTTAGTTAACAACACTAATCTCGATTTTTTCAAATAATTATATTTATATTCGTTTGACTTTGATAAAAAAAATAACTAAAATGTGTTAACTATAGCGTTTATACTCAGTTCTATTACAGCGTTAGCGAGAGGTTTTGCGGACCCCGGGGCAGATTTTTTTTCGTAAAGCCAAAACATTTTTTTCTTGGACGTCCGTAATACTCGTATAACATATTTTACTATTTCATACGACTTGTGTAAAACATTTTTCCTGAGTATAATACCTCAATACCATGACAGGCGACACTAGTTATTTAATTTAAAAAACAAGACTATGGGCTTACAAATTTTTAAATCCTACGAAAGCCACGGGGCCCATAAAATTCTGAGACAGCTAACTTGACCTTCCACCGGCGCTTTTCTATTATATTATAATTAACGTCAACAATATTTCAAGATTTAGATAAGAATAACATCATTTTAATTTAATTCAGAAAAATAATTACTATAATTTCTTATTAGCGTGGTTGTGTCGAGCCCCTATTTTAAGAATAAATCTCAGGCCCCCCGGTGACCGCTGCGTTTCTGGGCGGCAAAACCGACACTGGTGAAACGTTGATGTACAAGCCGTGGGACTCACCTTTACTATGACACTGTTGTAGGTGTTAGGTATTGTGTCAAACATCAACAAATAAATATCGAAATACAGTAAACAAATAAAATAACTTTAATTATAAACAACTGTAATGTAACATTTCCAAAGAGTTCATAGGATTTAACTATGAAAGTAGATAATTTTATTAGCAATTTATTATTACGTAGACATACTTCTATCTTTGATTTTGGACACAATAATCACTACATATTATATTCAACAAATGTAAACTATATAATTTTAAATAAAAACTCACTCGATTCAATAACAATTTATCTAACCAGGTAATAAAATGTTTACAATTTAGATCAAAATAATCACAGCGTTGATTTACTTAAACGTCTAAACTTAAACATTAAATAGCATTACCGTAATTATTATTTGTAAAAATAAATTAAGCAAAAAAAAAAAAATTAAAAAAAAAATAGATAAATAAAAAGAATAAGATTGAAACTTAAACCAAAGTATACGTAGAAGCTTGTGTATTGTATCTTGAATCAAAAGAATATACCATACAGGTTAGATATAGAATATTTCGAAATATTTAATATAAAAAAAAATATTACGTAATGGCGTTTGACACGTCTTTCCATGTAAACCTATAAGATACGATTTTAACCACTGAATTTATTTTATAATATTATCGACTATGGTAGATAAATATAGACAATAGATAAATAACGGGAATCGGGAAGAACAATATTAAGAACACATGGTCGTATTATATTTTATAATAATTTTAAAAATAAAAATATTATAATGAGGTTACGTGACAATATCGTCCCTATTTAGGTTTAAATCTGTGTAAGTCAAAACAATAATAATAATAATAATAATAATAATTATAATAATAATAATAATAATAATAATAATAATAATTATAATAATAATAATAATAATAATAATAATAATAATAATTATTATTATAATTATAATTATAATACTAATAATAATAATAATAAAAATAATTATAATTATAATAACTATAATAATATTAATAATAATAATAGTAATAATAATAATAATAATAATAATAAATAATAATAATAAATAATAATAATAATAATAATATCGTAACAATCAAGAGCGAATGAATTACTTAACAATTGTAAAATATACAAATCAAAAGGCTACGTTTGATTGGCACCAAACGATCGTCCTAAGTGAATTGAAAACATTCGATGGTCGTGTCGATGTAGTACGACGTCAGTGCTAACAGAAGTGCGGACAGCCCGACGTGCAACATCGCGTTCGGCTTGCGGTCGTGTCCCGAATTGCAACCGTCGAAGTCACAAGTCAGAATGCAACCGTTCATGGTGTGCTCTTGGTACTTGAATTTGCCGCACTGCGAGTCCATGGTCTTCATAGCGCATTGCCTGATGACCATAACTTCGTGGGTGAGCTCTGCAACACCACGAACGTGCGTAAACGCACGAGGATTAAAACTGGAGTAATATTAAAAGTATTCAACGGTCGGACGCCCTCGATGCCACGTAAGCTGTTACAAATGCTTATAGATGTTTACGTTTCCACAATGTGGCAGATACCGAGTATTTTTCTAAACACTTTATTTTCTTTGCGTTATTAAAGTTTTAGTCAAACCTGTAGTCCTGTACGCTAGTAGTACCTGGCCAACGACTGAAAAATCAAATGAAAAGAAGTCGGAAGCGATAGAAAGTATATCGGCCCGAAGAGAAACGACGAAGAAAATATTCGAAATACGAAACAATGAAGAGCTGGCCATGTATGGAAATCGAATGGACTGATTAGCAAGGTAACCGTGTTAAAACCAAACACAAGGAGACCCGGAGGATGGTTAGGTTTTTATAACTAAAAAAAAAAAAAAAATGAAATTTAAGTACCATAATTAAATAAAAAATTGATAAAAAATAACGAAACAGACAATTTTCAATTTTAGTTTTGTAGGCCTTTTGAATTCCCCGACATATAAGTTTGATTCCCCACTATATTATACTCCTGCATCGCCACTAAATCTGGCACTGACTTTGTAACGGCAATATAGTTTATAGGATACGATATATCTGGTCTCAATACTCAAGTGATAAGTTCTTCGAATTTAAAATTCTAAAGCAGGAGTGAACAACCCAAATGATCTTGCGGTCCACTTTTGAAAAAAATTACGATTCCAGGAGCCACAAATAAAATTATATTAGTATTTTGTCACAATACAAAAAAATTTGGACTCAACATTTAAAACAGGATCAATTATTATTATAAAATAAGTTTTGTTGTATTAATTGTTTGAAATAAACAGAATGAATTATTATTTTTTTTATCACCGTATTCTGAATCCAATTCTTTCAGGAACTCATTAAATTGTCGGTGCGGAAATGCATGTGATAGAATATATTCACTGTTTTTATGACTACTTGTATAACATGGTCCATTTACAATACTTGGAAACAAAGATTTTGTTGCTGAATAAAACAGTTTGTTGCCATTACGTTGTTAATAATACGGCTTCTGCATTGTGCAGGCATTCCTGAATATTTTATTGGGACAAAATACATTTTTTTTTTTTTTTGTAAATGTTTGATAAATCTCGCGGGCCACATACTTTCAAGGGTTAAAATAATTTTAATATTTACAGAATCTGATAATAATTATTTTTATCACACATTTTAATTTCAATTTAGTTATTATATTCAACTAAATATAAAATTATTCATTCTTCGTAAGTTGTTATTTTCAAATAATTTACCTTTACGGAAACTTCTGCAAAAATTTGATTTAGACTTGAAAGAAACGTTTATTCATACTGAAGCCACTATTTCTACTATTAAAAAATGCAGTGAAAACATAAATCAGTTTCAAAAATCGTTTGAAGAAGCTGACGTAAAGATAACACATCTCTGCTGATTAGCTAAGAGCCCTTCTAATTGAATTTATAAAAATAATTTTATTTTAGAAAATTACTAGGAAAATGTTTCATAAACTTAATTTTGTTCTCTAATTTATAAAATAAATTTAACAATTATATTGTAATACAAGAATCATTCATTATTTATTTATATTTTGTAAAATATATCTCGTTTTTATATTGATTCCTAAACTTATAAATAATAAAAAAACATTTCTACCCTCCTATCTCCGCCATTTAAATTCCTGAGCTCGCCTCTGATCGGTATTTTTACGTTGACGTTAATTGCGTTGTGTATAGGCTGTACGGGTTAAGGGATGTAAACGAACGAGAAATTATTCTAACCATCCATTGTTTTCATGATATAGTTGCTGCGGGGTGTTAACTATAATTTAATATACAAAGCCATTGTGCAAACGCTTAAAAGATTCCCAATCTAGATGGGTATCTTTTAAATTGAAAAATAATAATAATTTTACACTTATGATCGCATTTGAATCGATAATATTTAAATACCAAATGAGGTATCGGACAATCAATGATAAAAAAAAGGAAAACTGTTTGGCCATATTTTACGTTACGTTCAAGTTTTCCAAACTCTTGAAACATACGTTCATCATTAAAAGCATATTTTAACCATTAGAACACGTCTAAGAGTTCAAACAAACTAACCGGAAATCTTAACAATAATACTCAAAAAAATTATTCAATGTATTGATTTAAATACTCAAAACGAAATTATATATCGTTTTAGTATTCTATAGAATAAAATGTAATACAAAGCGATAATCAACAGTTGAAATCCTATTGAATTAACAATATATAATCAAGTTAAATATTCGATTTGAAGTATAACGATATTAAATTATTATGCTCTGGTACAGCTCGGCAACTGATTGACCACAGTCCAAAACTGCGAAAGGCAAATAACTAGACCGTTAATATATTCTACTTTAATGTATTAATTACATTTTTTATATAATTTTTGTAATGATTAATGAAAATGAAATATTTTATTCGATTCAATATTATCATCTGATTTTATTTTACTCGGATTACAACTGTCCCATAAAAAAAAAAATTCATTCGGATTCCAACAGAAATTACTTACCGACCCCTGCTCTAGTGAACTGGAGTAATAACTGGAGTATAAAAATTATTATTATGTAAAAAGGATACATATTTCAAGACACTTGAACCACTTGAACTATTAGATAGATGTTCTGGGTAAATGTTTGTATTTAAACTAATATAATTTATGGTTTTTTGGTTTTAAACCTTTTATTGCACTCATTATAATAATAATAATTATACGATCGATGTTAATAAAACCATATTTTGCGAATAATTTTGCAGACATGCATGCACCACAGATGCCTACCTAATACGCCGTATTAGCATGTTAAAAAACAGTTTTAAAATAAATTTTCTCCGAATTTATTTTTAATGTGTATTTTTAATCAAAATAATTTTAATTTATATTCAATGAAAATAATAATAATACGTTTTTTATTGAGTTATAGTAAGATGGGTAAGAAACTTGTAAGAGTCAGCATACACACACCCACCATACAAATTTAACGGTAAATAATAATCGGCTTACGAAAATTGAATGATATAAAATTAGCTTTATGACAAAAAAACTTATCGAGTTGGTGATATTTTTATAATAAAGCAACTAATTAGATGCAAATTTTTTTTTTTAAATTTGTATCTTAGAACATTTAATGATCATAGAGGACAATAATTCTTTTTTTTTTATTCAATAAATATATTAACTATAGATAATACATTTAAAATGTATATATTTCATAATTTTTTTTTTTTAAATTTTATAAATGTTAATCACATTAAAAACATTAACTAAACGCAAATAGGTTTTTGCAATTTTTTCAATTGCTTTTTAAATTCTGTTTAAGTTAAATTAAGTTTTGAAAAAGTTGGTACTCGAAATTCGAATAAACTAACTTTATTCGAACTTCAATACATTATACCATTTAAACATCAAAATAATTAACAAACAATGATAGATTAACTTTTTTTTCTAAAATACACTAAATTAAAATTTGATCGTACTATAATTTACAATTCAGTTTATTACATACAGCTCTTAACGTTTTTGTTTGAAACTGTTTATAAACTATTATCGCTTCTAATGCTACATGAATTATTAATAGCACTATACAAACACCAAATGATTCATTCAAACAGGTGCCTATGAAAAACAAAAAAAACCTGTTCCCTCTTGTTATTCGTTTTGAATATGATAAAGATCTTCTGTTAAATATTTTCAGTCGTATACATTTCTAACATAAGTACGTAAAATATACATTATAGGTTGATATTGTCGCTCCAAAAAGTATTTGAATATTGAATGTCATTACAGTATTTTTTACATTAGCTTTAATCAAAATATATTGTGATGTATATAGTATTAAAAACACATGATGAAAAAGTGGTTAATATATGATATAAATATTTAGAATGATCATCAATATTTAATGGGGTTTTTTATGCTTACCGTTTTTTCCAATTATTTTAGTACAAAAATTTGCTGGAAACATTCCTACATGACCTCTTTTTGGTACCATGCATTTTTCTATATATGAGGACATCGCTGGGTTGAAAGGGTCTTCACAATTTGCATTACTTCCATTTATAGAAGAACATTTAAAGCAATTTATGCACGATGTACCTGAAATAACATTTTGCATGTGATAAAATGTGATTGTAAGAATAAAGAAATCAATTAAGAAAATATATTAAGAATAAGTAGAAGAAGAATAAGTGTTTGTAAAATATTATGAATAAAATGTTTAATTTACCTTGTAATATACTCATTAACACTATTGAAATATCTAATAAGTATATGATCATTCCTTTTAGAATTTGCCTTTCGAAGGACAGTTTCACAATCTGAAATTAAGTAAAAAAAACAAAAGTTATATTAAATATAATAAATGTAATTATTTCAATATATATATATATATATATATATATATATATTACTATTTAAAACTGTGATTTAATTCGGATTTTAAGTCCAATTTATAAAATAGATAATATTATTTTTATCATTGGTTAAATATTCAAAAACAATTTTAGTAACAAAGCGCATATTTCATTAGTTTTTTTATTTTTCCCACTTGTTGATGAAACAGAAAACAGTTGAAATTAAATATTTTAAAGAATTAATTTATGTATAATTAATGAGGCCCTTAAATCATGCGTCTTGCCTCTTCTAGCCTATTGATTCTGATTTAAAGATTATTAATATATCGCATACCACATATTGTGTAATTATGGTAATAAGAAAGAATATTAACAAAATGTAACACTTCTAATAAAGATTTTTAAATTATTTCAATGTTTTTCAACTTATTTTCAAATAAAAAAACTTTTCCTAAAGCAGTGTATAATTTAATTTTACAATATATAACTCTTTTAAAACAGTTACGTTACGGTCATAGTAAAGAACTGGCTTAACACAATTTGGATTTAATGACAAGCAATTATTTTTAGTTGAACAATTATAAACTACAGCTACAAATAGACATTAAGCCCTACGTTGGTCACATAAATGTTTGTTAGGTATTATTGTGGAACAAATTTGTATTCCTAACATAAAATAATCAATTTCATTACTTTTAATTGGCTACATTTTTGACATTTAAACAATACTTTACTAATGTATAACTGAGTTATATTCTTTTATATAATTTTTATTATTATTTTTCTCATAATTGTTTATTATGATAAAAAAAAAAAAATAAAAATATTAACAGTAGAAAATTAATTATGCAATGGTAAGTGCCTAATTACGTACAGTTTTTAACATAAACGATGCAGTGCCATCAATTAAATATATTAGTAACTGGTTCTATAATCAAGTTATTAAATATTTGGGTGTTCTCTCATTGCTTATAGTTTTTAATACATTTTTGTATTTATTTTATTCTCTACATTTTATTATAAGCTAACATTGAATATATTTTCTTTTTATGTATAAAAAACTAAAAAAATACCTAAAAAATATAATAATTGATTTAAAAAATGTGACTGATCTCTTAACGTTATGCATTTTAACCACGTATAATTACAAAAACTAATATAATTATATGCCTTCAATCGTTTAGTTAAATATTTTTTAATGTTAATTTAATTTAAACACAGTTATTTGTTTATTAAATATAATTTAATAGCATTCTCATTGTAGTAAAAAACTATAATTGGTACAATTATTGTAAAGAAAAAGTTTAGTTTTAATTGATAAATTATAGTATTCTATAGTTATACATAGATATTATTCGGAGTTGATTGTTTTTATAAGCTTTAAAGTTATGGTAACACTGAGCTCAAGAAAATTTTTTTGTAATAATTATAACATCTTCAACATGTCCACAGTTTGAAAAGTAGTTTGAAAATTTATATGTATTGAATAATTTAAATTGAGAAGTGTAATATTCACATTTTATAGTTGGAATTTCATAGTAATTTTCCAATATTTTGCTCTTTGGACTACGCGCAATAAACTCGGTATTATAACAAAGTGTATTCAAGAAAATTAGGTTATTCGATCTAAAAATGATATATGTAAATCAATAAATTCAGATCATTAAAAATAGTTTTAAAACTAAGCACGTACATTACATATATTTAAAAGTTCACTGACTGAAAAGTTAAACAAAAAAGATTTTTTCGTTCGATCATG